AAAAATCATGGACATGAACCTTTTAACTACATGGACAAATTTAAACTAAAACATTGATACAATAAATCGTAAAAAATCAAAAGAATAATTAAATAAACTTGTAACTAACTTCCACATGAAACTGTAAAATATTTGCTTTCAAGGTCATCATTCACTAGTTTGTAAACTTCTCCAGTGTTGTGATCTATGAAGTTTTATTTTTATTTTTAGTTTTATTTTATTTTATTTTTATCGAAAGCATTGCACAAATTAACCTTCGGAAAAATTTAATCGGTGCGATTGTGGATGGGGACAGGATTAGTTGGGACGAAATCCTTTATTTTTATATTTAATTAGTGTGATTATGAAATATCCATTGGACGGCAGATTTTATATTTATTGTTACCCTATTACTACAATAAAGTCATGAGTACATGAAAATTTTAACAGAACTTGTACCGGCGCTAAAGTGGCAAGATGTGATTGGAATTTTTTTCCATCTTTAAATGATGTCATGCCATGTGTTGTTTGTAAGAATTTCTGTTATGACATTCTGTACTTGTAGCTGCTATTATTATCCTTTTAATAAAGTGACTAGTGACCAAAGTACACAAAGTCTTCTCTCAATTAATATTCACATGTTCTGGGAATCAAAATTTTCAAGTTCTTTTCCTTTTGTATAGTGGGAGACCAAGGCCTCATAGTCGACCATGAATAGGTGCCCCTTCGTATCTTTATTTCCTTTGACCAGACCTTTTATTTCTTCGGTGGAAAATTGAAATCACTATCAAGTCCTAATCATACGATTGGATTGTCTATAAGAAATTGTTTTATGCTCAAATCAATTGATTAAGTTTAAATGTCATTAAATAGAATTTATAAGTTGATCACATAATATTAAAATTATGAATCCTCTAGTCCCATATATACATTCATTTAGATGTTCACGTACGCATTGCACATTAACATTTGTAAAATGAAAATCATATCCATCCTTTTTATTTCTTCTTTGTATGCAAAATGATAAAAGCAAGCAAGATTTTGATAAAAAAAAAAGATTGTTAGGAAAACTAAGGATATGTTCTCTTCGCCGTTTTCGGGCCGTTTTCTGTTTTCGATTTTTCAACACGGTGAAAATGCGTTCTCTTTTTCGTTTTCGAAAAAAATTGTGAAGAAAACAGAAAATGATATTTTGGACATTTTCAGTACAAAACTTGAAAATATTGAAAACACGGGAAATTGTTTCAAAATGAAAAAAAAAAAAAAAAAACCGCATTTTTAACAATTTTAAAATAGGCACTACAAAAACAAAACCCAAAATGAATTCAAAATTCAAAACTAACACGAAACAGCCCTAAGTCACCATACTCTAATGTCTCTCAATCAACTGCCAGAGATCTCTGAAAGGGAGATAGAGATAGCAAACCCCCAGCCATATGCAATTTCTAAAAGGATAGTTGACGCAATAATGGAGCCCCATTAAAAAGCAAGAAAACTCATTTTCGCTCCCTCCAATGGTGGGCCCGCACTGATTGTGTGTCGGTGAAGTGGTGGGAGCAATTCCTTGGCTTCAGTTGGCTGTTCAAGGGTAATTGCATTTCCATATTTTGGCATACCGATGTTACCCTCAACTACAATAAAAAAGGAGGCTCAATTAGGGACGACGAGGGCAAGGGTAATTCTGGAAATTGGATTATGATAGTGAATAGTCCATTCAATTTTAGAGCTTGTTTGATATAGCTTTTAAGCCAATTAAAATCAATTCTTTCATAGTTATTTTACCATTCCAGTTGTCATTTTTGAATTCTTTTTTCACATGTAGGACTCACTTTATCTCTAACGGTCAAAAAATTAATTATCAAAATCCCTAGTAAATGGAATTGTTTGGATTTGAATTTTTTGACAAACGTCCATTCAATTTTCATGATGTATCAAAATCATGGCCATTAATTTTCCCGCATTAAGGGATATCAAACTAGTTAATTCTAACGTTTTTGAAAACAAGTATAGTTTTATTTTATATCAAGTTGGCTCATGATTGTGAATTTTGCATCTCTAAGAGACTGATTGTGAACATTGATTTGTTGGTTTAGGCTAAGCTTATGATTTTTATTTTATTGTGTAAATATATAGTCAAAATTGAACATGTGAAAAAAGATTTTTGAAAAAAATAAAAATAAAAATAAAAAATCCTCAAACGTAAAGAATTATGAATTAATTTTCTAATTTAGAAGTTGGTTCATGATTGTGAATTTTGCATCTAGACACATTCTCAAATCAAATCAATGTGAGGCAGCCTACATGTGACTCCCTTTCATTTCATTTTACAATTTACACCAATTTACGGTTTTTTTTTTTCCCTCATTTGTCCATTTATGATTCCATATATTTGTTTGAAATGTTAAAAGCTGCCTGCAACATTGGTTTTGATGAAAGGAAATTGCAACCAAATGAATTACGCCCTTGTTTCGTCGCACCTCGCTTCGCCTATTTATAACTTTTCACACCGTTACACAATACATTGGGAAAAGCCATTGATGGTAACCAATGAAATATCAATCGCAATTGTTTCACTCATTCATAGTTGGAAATGTGAAATGACTTATGCGCCTTTTAACATTGCACTAGTTCTATCTGTAGAATGGCATTTATGGTAATTCAATTATAATAGAATATGACTGGAGGGTTTTTTGTCAACAATTGTGGTTGATATTTAGGAGTCAACATATGCAGCTTTTCGCATGCATTGTGCAACGATCTGAAAAGCAATAAAAATGAGAAGAAAAACACAACAGACAGGGACAGGGGCTATAAGTAGCTAGCGCAACGTCCCAAACATTGGTTTTTCTAGACTGCAATTCAAACCCCCAAAAAAAATAAAAAAAATAAAATAAAATAAAAAAACCTTCACGTTTAATCCCCAACGTCCCATTCCGAATTGAAAACTTCTGTTACAATTATTTCACTTTTCGAACAGAAAAACAATTTCATCACCCCAATTGAAAAAACATGATGTAGAAAAATATAACAAATATTTTTGAGTAATATTGTGTTAGGTATATGTACTAAAAGGGCTTATATGAAAATGTTTATTTAATAAAATGTTTGGGTAGGATGAAAATCGAATCGGAACCGACAGTTCAAGTTTGTGTTTGGTTCCAGTATTTATAAGGATTCGAATGATTTCATTTACAGAATGCCCAAAATATAATGGATAGTTTCGAGTATTGAAATACCCGGACCGACCTACCCAAAGCTAGGCCTATTAGATACTGCAGCTACAAAATGAAATATATAATTTTCTCTGATGATTAAAATCTTTTATCTATATATAATTATAACTCCAGGATTCTCTATCAAATTTTGAAATGGGTAAAATAATTATACAATTAGCTTAAGAAACAAAAAAAGCATATATTATTGTGAAACTCATATATAAAGAGCAATTCTAGATTTCTATCGATGTAAAATTCGTGAAGATTTATCCTGCATATGCCTTTGTTCATAATTCAACCAATCTTAGCCAAAGATTTAATCCCTTTCTAGATAAAGTAAAGTTAGAACTGTCAAAATGGACGAGTCAATTCCAAAAAATAACTCGTGTTTGGGAAGACTTTTTGGCTAACAGATTTGGGATTGGCTTGAATGCGTAATGTTTTAAAATGATGAAAGGGCATGTATTCTCTATGGATAAAAATGCCCATCACTTAAAGGCTGGTGAATGATCGTAGATACGAATCCATTTTGTTCTCACATCATTAATGGGAGAATAATGTCAAACTTTAGACCATTAATCAGAAGGTTTCGTTATGCATTAAGCACAAGCATCATTGATACTGATTCAAGAGTATAAGACAGAAGAGGAGTCGAGATTCTTGCCTACCAGTATTTTTAGAAGTTTATTTGAGTCCAGACCGTTAAATGACATGTCTGGAGAATTAAAAGCTTTTATTCTTGCTATTTCAATTTTTATGAAAACTTATAAAGCCATTAAAACGACGTTTAAAATTTGTGATGAAAGTTTGAGTTCATAATGATCGTGAGTTGAGAATATAATTAATTACCTCATATTATAACGAGTTATTCTATCTATCAAATGTTTTATCAATTTTTATCAAAATCTATAAAATTTTATTATTATTATTTTTTTATCTAGAAAGCCCCTAAAATTCAAATACTGTCAGGGGAATTAGTTATTAATGCTAAACTACAAATTTAAGAACCGACTTACCATCTGACATCTAGTCAATTAAGGTAGAATATGGAAAAATTATCCAATCCATAAGACTATAGTTACTAGTAAGGAAAAAAAAATTGCATCTCGTCTGCTATCTTCATATCTCCACATTTTTTTTGGGGGAGCGGGGTGGAGTGGGTGATCTTCCATCGATTAATAATGACTTGATCCAAAATAATTCCTCACTTCTCATCAACCAAAACTTGTCTTAATATAGTCCAAACAAATGGAGAAAACTGAAAATATTTTTTCTATAAAAATTGATTTGCTTAATATGGAAAACGACTTGGGCTATAAATATAATTGAATAAAAATGCAGGCCATTTTAGGTGAAATTAAAATATGAATTTTTGAACTGATACTTGCACGCTTTGCTTGGATTCCACGTATGAGAAATTTGGTCAGTTTCCAATATCATTGATCAATTGAGTAATGCTACATTGTTGGTATGAATTGTCGAACCGATCTATATATTTGGGACAGACTTGACTTAATCTATATAATGCTTGTACTGTTCTTGCTGTTGAAAATTGAAATGTTTAAATAACAAGTAATAATAGACTCAATTCAAGCTTTCAGAGTTATATTTCTATAGTGATTCCTAGTTCATCATTGCAACTGAAGATCAAGTTATCTAGCGCGAGATATTTACTAGACTTCTCTAGTAACATTACTTGATTGAAATGAAGTTGTCTTGTGGCTAATACTGACAAATGGAAAGCCAATACACACATCTTTATAACTCCTCAACCAAGTAAACAAAAGAATTAAGCAAGAACCAGCATACAAAAAAAATGTTCTGCATCAACTTAAAGAAGCAATGATTATTCGAACTTCAGCTTCCTATCTACTCAAGCCTAATAATTCATAGAATAGTGTCAACAAGCTCATCAAATAAAGCCAACCTTAATTTCAAAACAAGGCAAAATACATTAGAAGTTTATTTGATGTGTCATTTTAGTATTACAGACAATACCAGAATCAAGATGAGAATGGGAAAGAGTAAAAGAAAAGGTCCCTGTTATTACCATGTGAAATGTCTCAGAAGGTCTCCTGCAAGAAATAAGAAATCTTTTAAAATCCAATTAAATAAGCAAAAAAAGGGAGTTATATTTGAGAATTGTAGTATACCAGCAAAAGCTAATGCTCCACGAGCTCGTCAGTGATTACTTCATTTTCACTTTCTTCTTGTTCTTCACTTTCCTCTTTCTCTTCACTTTCACTTTCACATTCTCCTTGTTCTTTTCTTTCACTTTTCGGGCCAGAGATTATGACTTTGAACTCTTCATTTCCAGCGTCCAATTGTTCTTCGAGAATTTGCTTAGTAGATACTTCAACAGCTTTTGTGCACCAATGTACCTCTATCATTTGTAACGCTAGAATACCTCCGAAACTGGGAGGGATTCCATTCTTCAAATTGTAGCAATTTTGCAATACCAGCCGTTGAAGTTTTGGAAAATTGTCACCTAAGGCATTCCATTCTGCAAGTTGTGCATCATAGAGTTTCAAGAATTTAAGTTGTGGGAATTCATCTTCACTCGTGTCCCACTGTTCTCCTTCAAAGGCTACCCGTTGTAATTTGAGAACCACAAGGTACTCCAGTCTCCCAATTGTCTCCATTTGTTTCGGAGACACGTGTACATTAACTAGAGTCAATTGTTTGAGATTCAAGGGCAAAATAATCAAACTGGAAGATGAAACTCCAAATCCTGATTGAAGCTTCAGTGATTCGAGCTGCTTAAGGAAGTCAAAAGAATAATTGAGTGAAGATCGAACCTTACCTTTCAATCTTCGAAGATTGTGTAAACATCTCAAAATTTTCTCATCTGTTTCATCGAAAATTCTGAGCACAGAAATACTTTGTAGATTATTACTTATTTGGAAGCATTCATCCTTAATTGCTCGCTAACGACAAGATGCACTAAAGTATGCACCATTCGTGAAATGCATATGTCTCAAACTCAGCATAGTAAGAAGGATCTCAGGTATTTCAATTTCAAAATTTGTAAATACCAAAAGATATTCTAGCTTGTGGAAGCTTTCCATTGGAGGCAGTTTACATGAAATTACCAAATACCTCAAGTGAACTAGATGTTCGATTCCTATTAAATGATGATCACTTGGGACTTTTGAAAATCTGAAGGCCCTAAGAACTTTGAAGCTGGATGTGATTATTGTGGACCGCTCATCAAGATAACCACAACGAAATAGAAAAGAACGCACGTGTAGGCTAAAAGGCAGTGAGTGAATTCGAGATTCCCCATAGTTGATATTCACACAATTGTGTTGCTCATGCATCAATACTTGACTGAAGAACATTGGCGGATCATCTTCATTACTTGCAACATGATGCAATCATCAAATATTGAAACCATTATTAATAAGATAAAACAAAAAATGACAAAAAGGAAGGAAAGAAAAAGAAGAAGAGAAACAGTGAACTTACAAGTTGACCACCTTCAAAAAGTTCATTTTTTTACATATTCTTGAGCACATTTCACGCAATAGATCATGAATCTTACAAATTTTGACTTCGCCATTAGATCTTTGTTCGTGAACAATTATCAAGCTCCTATCAATTAGTTCCATCAAATATTTTAGTGCCACATCCTCTAAGCACTTTTGCTCTTCCTTCTCTATAAATCCTTCAGCCACCCAAAGAGAAATCAAATCGTGTATTGGGATTTTTTCGTCTTCGTCATATGTTCCAAAGTAAAGAAAACATGGCTTTAAATGGTTTGGTAAATTCTTGTAGCTAAGTTCCAATATCTGCATTAACTTGTTTTCGTTGTCTGATACATGTGAACTTAAATTTCTTTCAACTTTTTGCCACAAGTGTTCTTTCTTCTCCATGTTTGAAAGAACTGCAGCTATTATAACAACTGCAAGTGGTAGGCCATGGCAATTTGTTGCGATTTGCTTCCCAATATCTAGCAATTCTTGAGGACAATTTTCATCTTTGAACACCTTCCGTTGTAATAATTCCCAACTTTCAGCCTCCGACAGCAAAGGAAGTGAATTTATAATACTATGAGGTGAAGCTTTTGAACCAACTTCTTTATTCCGAGTGGTGAATAAAATCCTGCTTCCCATTCCATCCTTTGGAAAATATCTTTCCAAATCATTCCATACATTGATATCCCATATATCGTCTATCACAATGAGGTACCGCAATCCTTTCAAACTTTTGTAAAGTTTTTCTGCTAAACTTTCTTCCGCCATATTCTCAAGTATTTCTCTCTTACTGTGACTTGTTGAGCACAAAATTTCAATCAACAATTTTTGCTTGTTATATGTTTGAGAAACAACACCCCAGGAACGCTTGTCAAAACGATAGACAACAGAGGGGTCATTGTACAATATATTTGCTAAAGTGGTCTTACCAATTCCAGGCATCCCAAAGATGGAAATTATTTGCAGCTGGTCTGGTCCTCTAACAAGTTGTCCTACAATTTCAGTCGCCACTTTCTCAAACCCCACAATAATGTTTCCAAAAACAGGATATTTTGTAGATTGCAATGATACCTGTTCAACTGGATATTTTGCAACTTCTAGGATCCCATCTACGTCAATATTGTTCTTCATTTCTTTGATAGCCATCTTAATAAGCTGAATCTTCTCAATGAGCTGGGGGAGCCTGACGGTGAGATACCAAACATGTGGAAAAGAGTTGATAACATATTCAACTTCGTATGCTATGTTGCTAGTTCGTATCATAAGTTCTTCATGTTCTGCTTCCTGCTGCACAGCTATATCGGTGACGGAACATCTCAATGACATTAGCTCCTTATGGAGCGTTACAATTTGATCTTCCACGCCAATTATCTTGTCAGAATTGTTATTCAATGTGTACATGAGATCATCGAGAACGGAATCAACAATAAAGAGTGAAGCCACAGCAGTCTTTGGAGTCATATCACTTGGCATCTTTGAGACTGCGATGCAGTGCTCCTTGACCTTTGTTTTCAAGAGATCAAATTTGGTTAACAAATTGGAAAGAGCAAGATCCAGTTCTCCACTCTCTGTACCCATGAAAAAGGACAGTAAGAAACTTCCTACCTCCTGGACCAGAGCTTTGATACCCGTTATTTCTTTCTGGGTTACTACCAACCTTTTTCCTTTTTTTTTATTTCCTTCCTCCTCTTTAGTTGTCTGCAATGTTATATCCTCAATCAAGTCGAAAAATTTATTACGCAGCAAACTTCCTACCTCATCGACCACAGCTTCAAATCCGATTCCTTTCTTCAAAGTGATAACCAATAGAATAACGGTGATAAAGAAGAAATACAAGAAACGTCCTACCTCATTAACCATAGCTTCGATATCTGTCACTCTATTCTCGGTGGGCTGCAAATGCATTGCGATGTCCCCAAGAAAAGTAATAAGAAATCCAAGTTCGGTCTGGAGATTTTGGATGGATATGGAACCTCTCGTGAAATATAGGATGACTTCTATCATTAGGAGGTGGAAGTTGATAAAGACCGAAACAACTTGGTTAGGATTGAGATTAAGACTAATATGGGACATGATTTGTTGGTTCGGGACTGTGAAGTGCACCTTAAGCTTTTGCACAAGTGACACGAATGTTTGGAAATTGTTTCTGACAGTGTCATTATATTCGAATTTTGATGTACATTCAAGGCTCCTTAACAGATCAATTACATGTCCATGTTGGGGTGACAACTTTGATATATGGCCGACCACTATTCCAATAAGGCAGTTGAGCAGCGAGGACTTTTTAATGAGGGAGTCAAGCAGCCAGGACTTTCTCCACTGAGACTCCTCGAATGAGTAGATCGGAATCGGTGCAGGAAGATCCAATTCTTTCTCTGAGGAGTAGTTCGGAGACGGTACAGAGAGATCCAATTCTTCCTCCTTTGAAGACATTGATAATGGAAAAAAGAAGGATAATGGAAATGAATGTAGCTAAAGGATTAAAATTGAGCACCTTATAGCTTTGAAGCAATGGAAATGGAGCTTGTAGCTCAGAAAATCAAATAAAGAAAAAGGAAAGGAAATAATGAACGGAAGAAGGAAGAAGCTCACAGCTCTGTAGTCAAAGAGGCCAAACGAATCTTTGGATTAATTTAATTCGTTTCTTGTAAATTGTAATCAAGCTCAAATACAAAGATGGACCACTGAATTTTCTCTCTTACAAGTCTTTTCACATGTATATACACTGAACACAATGTGGCATCATAAATCTCGATAAGAGTAGCTGTCAATTTACTAATTTATTATGCATAGTTGGTGGGGTTTACCAATGTAAAACATGTTATCTAATATCTTAATCCAAAATACAATTTAATAATTTAAGAACGCAAGTCTAAATTAAGACAACGTAAAAATGTATATTATTTACTAATTCTCTAAAATATTTTTAGAATTTGATAGACTCACAAATAATATTAGAGCTTGATAACATATTTGCATATGAAGTGTTACATATTGTAATACAAAGCACGTGATTCTTATTTTTAATTATGAATATTTTTTTATTTAACTAGTTTAATGGCAAATTTGTAAATTATTAAAAGAAATTATTTTTTGTTACCACACAATGTACAGTGTTAAGTTTAGAAAATACAGTATGTAAAGTATAATTCCACCTTAAACTATAAAGTATAGATACGACTTAAACAAAAGGTGTATTTTGTAAATTTCTCTTTGTTTTACCAACTACATATGACCAGAAAGCAATTGCTACGAATTATTCTTCGATGTACATTCTACCTATTCGGTATGAATGTGAAGCGAGGACTAATAGGTGAAGGCATTTCCGTGTCATGACATTTTGAGGGGAAAAGTTATTAAGGGGCCGTTTTTCACTCCAAAAAATTGATTTTTTGATCGTTATTTCAATATTCCAACAGTAAAGTTTGACTTCTTCTCTCACAGGTAGCCTCCACCTTTTTTCGTAATGGTTAAAAAATCAATTCTCAAAATCGCTTCCAAACAAGGCCTAATTAAGGACATGACGGACTCAGATGAGAAAGTGAACTCTTAATTTATACTCTCTCTGTCCCAATTATATAGGATTGTTTCGTTTTTTACACGTATTAAGATATCTTCTTTAATATCATTGAAAAATTAATTTTTGCCAAAATCTTTCCTAATTTACCCCTATTTAATTTTCAGTGCGTAGTAGTAAATTATTATTGAATTTAGTAAAGAATTTGAATGATTTAATTTGAATAAGAAGAAATGAGTGTTTTTCCATGATTTTAAGAAGTGGGAAATGTGGATTTGGATTATTTCAAGAAGTTTGCATATTAAGTGAGGAAAAATGAATAAAGGTATATTGTAAATGAATAAAATAAAATATTCTAAATTAGAAAACAAGCCTATATATTTGGAACAAGAGAAAGCGAAAACTCTGCCTATATAATTGAGATGTAGAGAGCATAAAATAAGCAATATATTTCAGCTATTTGCATTAAATTAAATCTTCTTGACTTGTCAGCAATACATCTTTTTTTGTAGGACGTCGAATAATTATATTAAGGCTAAATTGACCGTTTCTTCCTCTAAAATATTATCATAACTTAAGCTTACATTTGTTTATTAGTTTCTTCATCATACGATAACTGGTTTAATTTAGTCATACTGATCTCAGATTCAAACTGCTTTAAAAATACCTTAATGTAATTATTAGCTTATCGAATAAGGTGATAGATTTTGAGCATGAATGAGTGCTCACTATTTCAATTCGTATCAGCTTCCAACATATCGAGATATTGATCATATAACTAGATGTCACTCATCGGCACATCAAAGAACCACAAGTTCATGAATAGAAATCACTACCTTGTAGAGAATTTAGGTAATTCATAATACAGTAACGTGTGAGTAATTTTTACTTAGAGTCATGTTATAGAAATTAATCTACACTTGTTGATTGTGTCCAATAAATATTTGGGTGTAATAGAGTAATTACTCGTGAGCAGACTATTGTTATGGTTAAGAAAAACAACGTACTGTAATTGGTAGAGTAACAATCACTAAGACTTTATTAAAAGACATACCTGCCTCTATTCACGAGCTAAGACAAATTAATTTTCGATCTAATTCGTACTTTTCTCCGTAAGTATTTAATTCATATTATCACAAAGCCATCGGTTTATGAGAGCAATTTGTGTTACAAACACGATTTGTCCATAACGAAGAACAAAACAAAATAATTAAAGAGTAACAAAAATATCTAGTATTTCTATGAAATATAGACATTCCCATTGATATTTCGAGGGAGCAATGAACATCAAGACAAACCGTATGTGAAAATAATTCATCCACATACTATTTACAGATTTTACCTCTAAAAATATAAGCTTAAAACACACGATTTCACCGACTCCAAAACATAGTCCACTAACACATAATGTCGGATAATTAAAAAAAAAAAAATCATGGACATGACCCTTTTATCTACTTGGACAAATTTAAACTAATTAGACACAATAAATCGTAAAATCAAAAGACGAATTAATTAAATTTGTAACTAACTTTCACATGAAGCCGTAAAATATTTGCCTTTGAGGTCATCATTCACTAGTATGTAAACTTCTCCAGTGTTATGATCTATGATGTTTTTTAATTTAATCGAAAGTATTGCACAAATTAACTTTAGGAATAATTCAAAATTTAATCAGTGCGGTTGTGGATGGGGAAAGGATTAGTTTGGATGAAATCCTTTATTTTTATATTTAATCAGTGTGTGATTATGACATGCATTGGACGAGGGATTTTATATTTATTGTTACCCTATTACTACAATAAAGCCATGATTATAGGAAAAATTTAAGAGGACGTGTACTGATGCTGACGTGGCAAAATATGATTGGACATTTTTTTTTTTCGTTCTTTCCATCTTGCAATGATGCCATACTATGTGTTGTTCCTAAGAATTTTTGTCATAACATCATGTACTTGTAGCATGATTGTTATTACTATCATTTTTAATAAAGTGACGGGTGACCAAAGTACACAAACTCGTTTGGCTCCATTACTATCCTATTTTTAGTCACACAATCTTCTATAAGATAATATTACATATAGACCGAAGACTTTTTCTTCTTTCTCAACTACTCATTTAAAAAAAAAAAAACTATTCCACCCAATTTTCATTTCAAAAAATGACATTTTCTTCTTTTTCAACCACTCATTTTTAAAAAAAAAAAAATATATATATATATATATATACTATTTCATCCAATTTTCATTTCGAAAAAGGGGGCCAAACGAGAGCAAAGTCTTCTCTCAATTATTATCCGAGTCATAGTATTCATATGTTCTGGGAATTAAAAATTTCAGGTTCTTTTCCTTTTGTTTAGTGGAAGACCAAGGCCACATAGTGGACCATGAATAGGTGCCCCCTTCATCAATGCGGGATGATTTTATAATTACACTGGTTAATTATAAATAGTGTTCAATAATTTCCATTAAACTAGTCCTTTGCTCCCAAATGCATTATGGATTTCATAATCACCCAGATTAAAATATAAAAAGAATAGACTAGTGCTGAATATATAATTTCTTTCCAACTAATCCATGTCAATTAATGCATAGTTTATTCCTCAATCACACTGACTAAAGCTCTTAGAATTTTCTCCATTTCACACCTTGGAAGGCATGAAACTTCCTGTCTACTGATTGGGTTTAGTGACACAATTATTAAGCCATGCAAGTTTCTTAATTGCGTTATTTATTGATAAATTTAGTGCTTTACATATAATATATTTGGCCTAACTAATTGCTCTATAAGAGCATCTCTAATTGTTGTGTAAAATAGTTTTAAACTTTTACATTATCATTTAAACCTCCAAAGTGATAGAAAAACTTCAAATGAAGCGATACAAAGGAATGCAAATTACATTTTCCAACAGAAAATGTTAAAAAAAAAAAAAAGGAAAAAAGGAGAAAAGGTAAATTTTTATATTTTTTCCACCCAGAAGATGCAAAAAAGTGAATTTAAATCTTTCAGTTGGAGTAAAACTTGAATTTAAATCTATCAGGACGTAAATAAGGATGTAAAATCACTTTTAATTTACATCCAATTTTACATTATTATAGAATGTGCTCTAATAATATAGAGTAATACATCTCTAAAGTAATATTGCTAATAGAATAACCTCCATATAATTATATATAATTTTTGATAAAAATAAAGTCATAAACTTTTTAGGTCTCGTTTTAAGAAATTGCATCCACATAATAGTAATTCCAATATATTGCTAAATAGATATATTTATGTTACATTAAAAGCTTAAAATAAAATAAAATACTTATCTAAAGTTGTTTAAGGAATGCAAAATTTTAGTATTTTAAGACGACTTTTTTTATGTTCAACATTACATAAATATAAGTACTAGTTAAAAATAAAAAAAATAGGTCTATCTCTTTCGTCAAAAAGTTTATCTCTACCATAACTAAGTCAAGACTCAAAATATAATTTTTTGTCATGCTTAATAGCAGAAAACTCCCTATCTATTAAACGTTGTGCGAAGAACTCTCCTATAAATTAGTTATGGTTATCGTGTAGGATAACAATTTATTCTTTACATTAGAAGTCATTGTGTGGAATGATATTAGGATTAGGTTTATCATGAAAGGGTAGCCATTGCTTGTTGCTAGACCTATTAATTATTTGTTAATTATTTGCCTTATATTCTTTGTGCATTAATTTGTTGCCAATCATTTCCAAATTATTATTATTTAAGACAACGTAAAAAGTGTATATTATTTACTAATTCTCTAAAATGTTTTTAGAGTTTGATAGACTCACAAATAATATTAGAGCTTGATAAAATATTTGTATATGAAGTGCTACATGATGTAATACAAAGCATCTGATCGTTATTTTTAATTATGAATATTTTTTTTTATCTAACTATTTGCCTTGTATTCTTTGTGCATTTCTTGTCCATCTTTCAACGATTTCATGCCATATGTTATTTGTAAGAATATCTTGTAACGGGATTGCTATTATTATCTTTTTAATAAAGTGACTGGTGACCAATGTACACACAGTCTTCTCTCAATTATTGAATTAAAATGTTCAGGTTGTTTTCCTTTTATATAGTGGGAGACCAAGGCCTCATAGTGGAGTGGACCATGAAAAGGTGCCCCTTCATACCTTTATTTCCTTTAACTGAACTTGTTGACCCCAAAAAGTGTTGCCGACAGATGTCGGACCTACTCGTACACACGTGAGTGAAGGTTCTACACGCTAAAACACGTAGACGGTCAAAATCAGG